AAGTATGTTTTATCCGATTACTCGATTAATCGATGGAATATTCGATAGAATACTCGATTACCAAAATATTCGATAGCTGCAGCCCTAAAGCACACACAGACAGACAACACAGCACCATGAAAAACCAATGAACCAAGTTTGAGTATTTAAATGAATCAGTTAAAGGTGGGGTAAGCTTCGTTCGTTTCTCATGTACAGAGCCAGGACAGGACAAAAACCAGATGTTTTTCAGCGCCCACATAGAAAAAGAGACATAGAGGAAGCTAGCGGGCTATGGGAAGATATTCACTGAATTTGACAAAAAGATGTGTATTGGATAAGAACTGCATACCCCATCTTTAGCAAAATATAAACAAAAATTAAAAAGTATCTGCTAATGGTACATTATGTTATATTCAACTCAGTAAACAACCCATTGATTTTATGTTTGCATCTTAGCGTGAGAGTTTGATTATCCATTGTCAGGAGGGAAGACAAACTCATCCACGTGACCATTTGCCGGAGTAAAGACATGTCCTGAAGAACGGCCATCTCTTGTGCCGTCTCTCAAATGGCCGATACAATCTTTGGTTAGAAACTGGTCAAGAGAACGACCAACGTGTGAGATTCAAAATAAGCCATATGGAGGAGGCAGCCCTCACAAGTCATGCTAAGGTAAAAAGTGAGGAGAATACTGTGAGAGATGTCCTACCAATCCAGGTATTTTTCAACTTGACAAAAACCACAGCGAAACCAGCCGATGACCAAGCACTGAACGATAAAGCGACATCCTAACTGAAGACTTGGGGCACAGGTTATCTTACTGCATTTGAATATTGTCCATGTTACAGCAGGTCAAGTCTTTGGAAATGAAATATCAAATGAAGTTTTCATTTTCACATGATTTGAAAATTACATATTAATTGTACATAAATATTATTGGCATGAATGAATCAAATCAAACATTGCCATTTTTATTTTAACATGGTCATAGAATATGAGTATGTGAAAATAAACTACTTCTAACTTTTTTCTCAAATAACACACGTGAAAAGATATGATGCTATTATGGAATGACATGTTAAAGTTTACATTGTCATTTTAATATAGTCATCTTTGGGCTTCCATACATATGGTTTTGAAGTGAATATGAACAGTAAGAGATTTAAAAGGGTTGCCATTTGGAGTAAACTGCGTCGGCCTGAACCGCCAGAAGTTCCTGAATCTAGTCGTCTCTCCAGTAAAGAGACATTTTCTCTGTTTTAATGATGTTCGTATTTTTACGGTTGTAGTCACGTGAGAGAACACATCACCGACACGCCCACTCGCAGCGCTTTATTCACACGTGTTTCAATTGGACTCTAGGGAGCCCCTTCTTCTTTTTTTAGGTTTGAATGAACTGAGTGACCAACAAACCAATGTCAGTGTTAAGGCATATTACAGAGGAGGATGCACACACACACACACACGCACACATCCATTTTACCTCTGGAAGCCTTTTGATGATGACTTTGACTTTCTTCTCCAATGCACGTTTCTCAGGTGTTGAATGGATCAATTTTGGTTCCCTCTCTGAAAGAAGAAGATATGATATACACTCAAGAAATGCTCAGTAGCCTAAGAAGCTAAAATGAATGTGAATAATAAAATTTCTACAGATGATGATTCCTGTCGGAAACGTCACCTTCACAAACACTGTTATCATCAACAGCAGGCACGTCCTCATCCATCTCTCCCTGTTGCTTTTTATCTTCCTCTTCTTCACTCTTGTCAGCTCCTGAGTCTATAACCTCTCCTCCATTTTCAACCCCTACCCTTTCTTCCTCTGCCTCCAGTACCAATTCTTCACTGCCTGGAATCCAGTCTTCATCTCTAACATCATCTTCCTCAGTTTCTTCTGCGGACTGTATTTGTGACTCTTTGACAGGGATATGATAACATGTACACTTTAAGTAATTGTTCATTACTTTGTGGTAGGGCTAAACATTGAATGTTAAATGTATAACATTATCTGGGCATGCACTCTGCTTACTCTTGCTGTAATTCTGGGTTAAGTTACAAGAAAGTGGAGACAAACCTTCAGAGGAGCTCTCTGATATGCGATTTGATGACCGGATTTTCTTTTGCTGGGAGAATAAAGGAAACAAATACAAGTCTCATCATAACTGTCAAAGTTAAATTCATTTTACAAAACCTGCATCACACTGTATTCACATATTGTTACCTTTGTAGGGGGAGTTCCTCTCTTTTTAAATCCCGGGGTGGTTAAGGAACCTTGCTGTAATAATAGTTTGTTAAGCAGTTTATTTAGTGTTGTTCAGATTTTGTGGAATAAAGAAAAGTACGCAGGACAAACAGGACAAACATATCTCACCTCAAACAAAAACTGAAGTGGCTTATTTCCATAGAAAATACTTGTTTTCCATTTTTTACTGCATCCTTTCCCCCCGAATTCCTCGAAAGTGGGGGGAGAGAACCAGCTGTTCTGACATTTGATACACTCCTCACCTAAACAGGGCAACACACATTACAAAACCATATAAGGACAAAGGAATATGGAAATAAAAAAGGTCTTATTTATGAATTCTTAAGTAAAACTGAACAAGTATTAGTTTCTGCTTACCCCTGTTCAGCTTTTCTACATCTAGGATGCCTGTTTTGTTTCCACAGGTTACAGTCAACAATCCTATAGAGTTGCACACACAGTTGGCTTAGCATTACTCAAGAAGAAAATATTGTGAGTGTATTTTCACGTCATGGAAAATGTTCTGTACAGAATTCAGTGCACATTACAATACAGATTTCCGTAAGCCCCTCTTGTCTTCATCACATGGCTCCAAAGACTCACTGTTTTCTTGCATCCTCTGGTTGTGAGTGTACTGTGTGGATGTGCCTGGCTGCTCGCTGCTTTCCTTGTTGTCCTCTTCCTCCTCACCCTTGTCGCTGTCCTCCTCTTCTTCCTGCTCCTCCTCATCATCATCTTCAAAATATCTGGCTCTCTTTCTTTTCCTTAAGCTACTTCTCCTGTTCCTATCTTCTTCTTCTTCTTCTTCAAACAAGAACCGGATTCGTTTCCTCTCCATCACTCTTCTTTTCCAAATTAAAACAACACAACCCTAACACACTGCAACTTAAGAAAACACATGCATATTAAAAACATAATCAATTTGACGACACATGCATAGCATTCATAAAGCACGCTGCAGTTACACAAAATGACAAAAAGTGTATTCAGGGGACATTACATACAAAAGTATTATTATTGTTGCTGTGTAATGACAGCCATAAGCAAATATCCAAACACACCCTCACTCACACACGTTCAATGTAAATTTATGAAAAACTGTCCTTATCTAAACTCATACTGTACACTACAGTGTACTGTTGGGCTCCAGCGTATATCAATATGCCGACATGTGTAGCCTGAAATATTATATTTAATTTGTTTGATCTTAACCCACTGTATCACACATTTTGACTTTGAATTTTTGTGTTTTCAATTGCAGTGCAACCAGAATTGTATCATATAGAGATACGTATATAGATTGTTGTGGCTCTTGCATTTGACAGTAAACTTTGAAGTTTTAAACAAATAATAGACCTCGGTCCCACAGCCACTGGGAGGCACTGCGCTAGATTTACATCCAACAGACCACAAGTCATTGCATTTTCACATCGGCTTTTCGGCGGGCACTTTCGAATAACTGTAGACAGTAGTGCTGTAGAAAGTCGGGCAAGATCACCCGTTTCCTGCACAGAAACAGGAGGCAGATAGATGCCTCGCAGTGACAGAGGTCGAACATCTGGCTTTATGGTGGCTTTTAGATACTTACCCACCCCAAAGTTATAACGGCAGGATGTAGAGTTAAAACATTACTCATAACGACACAAAGGCGGGCATTATGAATAGTTTCAGATCAAATCAAATGATCTCAGATGCCACATCCGGTATAAGCAGAGCAGAACGCTGCGTCAGTGCACCAGTTTAACAATGAATGTATGCAACAACACATTTAATAACACTTCTGGCAGCTATGACTGATGCTCCGTTCGGCACTTATTATATTGTAATTCACTGCAAACACTCAGAGCGTTACACAATCATGTTTATTATGTCCACGTACAACTGTTTCACAAAACTACATGAAACCAACAACTTAACATTTGTTCAGAAATCACCAGAATGGAAAGCACAGAGATATGTCTTACCTATCCTGCCCTCTCCCAGGAAATGAAACCGAAAGTTTAAGTTGGAGACACACCTACAGAAAAAGCCACTCTTTCAGCCAAAGCCACCACCAGGGAGCTCCAGAGGGCCTCATATGTAGAGATGATGACCAATATTTCTTTCATTCACATCACATTTGCAGTCACATTACTGCGCATGACAAAATAATCATAACTGTACAGAAGTGCTTGAGGCAATCATTTACCTTTTCATTTCTAGACTAGACTTTATAGGACTGATGATAAAACGTTACTAAATACCACTTCAAACACAACAGATCTTATTATAAGTGTAGTTGTGTTACATGACAGTGGGTTAAGTCATAATTATGAGAGAGCGAGAAAGATATAAAATAAAATAAAAACATTGTTGTGTTTTCTAATTATGGACTGATACATTTAAAAAAAATGACAAATGATTTCTTATTCTGATGGTTTTCTAGCAAATGTTTTTGGAATAAAATCAATTACATGAATTCAACATCCATTACAGACTTGAGTAATAGATGACTAATTGCTAACTATCTCAAAATCTATTGAGTTTTCTTGGGAAACCATGGTATTTTTCTTAAAGTAGATGGAAACGCCTTGAAGTAAATCAAAAGCAAAATCATAATAAGTACCACCGCTGCATCCCACCGCTTATCTAGAAGAGCACAACCTACCAGTACTATTACTCCCATTAACAGTATGCATAGCAAAATATTCCAAATATTCATCTTGGTGTCCTTCTCTGCAGCCAGTCTTGCATTGTTCTCCTCTCTCCTCCACAGCTCCCTCTTCTTCACCTCCAGCTCTTCCCCTTGGTAACGCTCCTGCAGTTCTCTCTCCTTGCGTCTGATCTCTTCACCTTTCTCCGCCAGGATGCTCTGCTGTCTCTCTCTAATTCTCTTCTCCTCTGCGGGATACAAGTCTGTGTTGTAGTAATGCCCTCCGTTCAGGGCCACCATGGTCTGGATCTTTGCTATGAAGCTGGCCACCTGCACCTGGTCCTCCGGGTTCTTATTGTTGAAGACATGGAAGCCGCCACCACACTTGCGTATGAAGTTGCGCAGGTTGTCGTCGCTCTCAGTGATGACATCGTTTATTGTTTTTTCATCCAAGCGGTCTCCATGAGTGAACAGCACAATGGTGTAGTCCCACACTTTTGGGCCAAACTTTGCTTCGATCAGCTCGTTGGTTTCTTGATCTTCCTGAGTCATCCGTCCTACAGGGACTACAACCACAAAGGCATGAGGTCCTGGCTCCTGGAGTTTGACGCACTTCAGAACCTCTCGCACAATGTCCCCCTTGTCTCTTCCTGTCTCAAAAAAGCCGGGTGTGTCGATCACAGCGACGGGCACGTCTTTAACCTTCTTAATCATATCAATGGGCACGTCTTTAACTGTCCCAGTCATCTTCTCGCAGTGTCTGGTGACTCTCACTAGCCTCATGTCTGATTTAAAGACGTGTTTCCCGAGGATGGTGTTCCCACTCGAGCTCTTGCCTACCCCGCTCTTTCCAAGCAGCATGATCCTCAAGGGCTCTGCGAATACAACAAACAGGAAATATTTTACTACACAATAAGTTTTTTATTAAATGCTTACCTCTGAACAACCATTGTTCTCATTTCTCACATTAACTTAGATTTTTCTCCATACTTGATATTTGAAGCTGATACTGATATGATGATCGAGATTTGGGGGTTATAAAAGTAAAAATATGACGTATCGCTCAAACATATAATGAAGACAAACAATCTTGATACAAATCCCCAAAATGTATTTATTTTTCTTTAAAGTGCGACCCAGATACATACCGCTCTGAACATTTTACAGTGTAAAAATCACCTTGCTCGGTTCTGTGTACAGTGACACTGTTTCTTAATGACCTTAAACCTAGTCTGGCATTCCTTTACTGCAATGTCTTGTTACTTATCTGCCAAGATACACATTAATCGACCAGTATAGTACCAATCAGCTAATATTGGCTGATTCATCAGTCTACATTTTAGATTTTAACTCCATATCAACCCAGATACATTTATTCAAGTAGGTTGGGATTTGGGGGGAGTAGCAAACAAAGATAAAGAACTGTACAACTGTGATGATAACGAGTACAAATAGAACAAATATTGTTCTAATCTAGCTGAAAATGTATGCCAGTAAAATGCAATCCAGTACTTGAGTAATTAGTAGCAGTTTTTGAAGTGTTCTCTACAAGAGTTCTTATAGCTGGTGCTGTGTGGCTGTGTAAGTTATAGTCCAGACTTTTTGTAGGCAGAAGGAAGAGAGTTCAGCATGCTGCCAGCCTGATGTATTAAGCTGTTATATAGTCTGCTGGAGTAAGCTCGGAGGCTCTGGTATCTTCTCCCAGATGGCAGGAGACTGAAGAAGCTGTGTGATCGTGGTAGATGGGTGGAGTCACTTGCAATACTGTTGGCTTTGAAGGCTATATAGTGTTGGAGAGGAGTGAGGCACCAGTTATCTTCCCAGCCACGTTCACCATGTGCAGCATGGTATGCTCTCTATGATGCCTCGTGGAAGGAGAACGCGATAGGTGACGGGGCTCTACTCTATTTAGCTTCCAGAGGAAGTAAAAACGCTACTAGGCTTTCTTGGCCAGTGATGCGGTGGTGCGGTTTGTCTAGGAAAAGATCCTCGATGGCACTAAATCATACACACTGGTCATTTAAGACATTGTTTGGATCTTGTACTATTGATATGACTTCTAGAGTTTAGACTTAGAACCTGACTTCTCAGATGAATAAGGGCCAGACTGTAAATGATCACAGTGCTTCCTAAGCTTACTAAGGAGCATGGTAGACCACACAAACAACCTGGGTACTTAAATCAATGCGGAGGTGTTCCAAATAGTTTAAAATCTGGAAAAAGATCCAGAAATCCAAACCTTTTCTTTTAAAACGTGTGAAAATTACATTATGTATCTTGAATCATCAATGTTTATTTTGTGCAAGATTAGGAAGATATTCATTATAAATTATTTATTACTACTTATAAGGGTCAATGTTTATCAACTTGTTGACCCCTAGAACTAAGAACTTAGCTATTTATATATATAGCGGAATAGTAGTGCCAGCAAAGAGCAAATACTCTTGAATAAAATGGCAAAACTTTTTTGCTGCAACAGAAACAAAAGTAGGACACAAGGTGACATAACATAAAGTATCCTGATTGCTCTGAGGTAGCCAGAGACGGCCTAGTTAGAGTAATGTCTTTTATTTAGTTTTGCTCTGAGTATACTTAAAGGCTTCAATCTTGGAAAGATAACACACAAAAAAAGAAAAAAGAAAACACCTTAGGTAAACCACCCTCGGTTTTCCCCTTCTTCTGTTGCAACATGTGCTAACAAAGTGACACACGTGATTATAGATTCCAGTGATGTGTAACAAAGTGATGGGTTGTCCCATAAACAAAAGAAAAATCCTTTCAAATAAAGTTCAGTTTATTAAACCTATGGCATTTGTCTTCATGGGCAGCTAAGCACATAAAGACTAACTAAAAACTAAAACATTGAAACATTAAGAGTTCACCTTCATACTCATGTTCCTCTTGCTCTGCACCAGGCATGTTGTCAGGCATCATGGCAGGAACAGATCCAGCCACAGTCTTATCATCCAAGTCGCCAACTACCATCTTTGTACAATGTCAGTTTTTAAAGCTGGGAAACTGGTGAAGTAACTGGTCTTAGTGAGTTATATTCTTGGTTCAGACCACTCCTCTCACAGCTTCTTTACTGCCGCTGTGGAGAAACAGAAACTAAAAACATGAACAGGAAATGGAATGATGCCAGGAAACTTGCTCAACAGCTGAATGTTTCACAACTTTATAGGTTCATAGATCAGAAAATGTTCCCCTAGTTATGTATTGTTGGAATAAAAGTACAAACTAACATGTAGCAGAAAAACAGCAAGGAAACTATTCAAGTTTAATATGAGTGCACTACTTTGTAGCCGACCACTGGGTATGAAAACCAATTAGTAGATGAACAGCGCCATCTGGTGGGCTGGTAGAAGTACATTAAAAGCCTTTAGGGGATCCACAGTGGGTTCATGCAGACATGGTCAGAATTTGTCTCAAAGGATAGGTTCACATTCTTTCAAGGCTAGCTTGAAACAGTACTCACATCACAGCTGTAATTACAATCACATATATCAGTAGTTGCATGGAAAATCCCCCAAATGAAGACCTTTTAACTCAAAAACATGACATGATTGTGGCACATTGAATAGAGATCTAATAAGAAGTCAATAAATTGTTCCCAAATTTCCAAGCCTCCAGACATTTTTCCAAATACATCTTTTTCATTGAACTTAGTTAATGTGGCAATACCATTTTAAATTGCATGTGTTGTTTTCTTTAACACATTCTTTTTCCAATTAATCTATTTATATGTTATAAAGTGATTGGGGACAAAAACATGCAATATCAAGTTTAGCTGAAACTAATATGAGGGTATGAGTGGGTATCTATCAGTGTTTGGGTGTTTTTAATACTAAATGTTTCGTAAATAAGGTAATAGAGTTTCTTAAACAATCACTGTGATGCCTCAAGGAAACAGTGAAATATTTTAAAAATATTTTCATAATAGAGAATTAAGATGTCATGAGAATTATTATTCATTTTATTTAATTAACTGAAGGTTAAAGGAGAATGTTTTTACTGGATGTTAGTGCAGCCAACTGTAACAATAACACTCCATTTCACTTGTGCTTAGTTTATGAAAGTGAGCAGGTCATATGATTTTAGAAATGTTTATTTACATTTAGTTTAGGAGAGCACTTACATGGCAGAAGTATTAAGATTCATAAGCATTAATCTCAGGATGGGAAAAAGGTTATAGAGCCTCTCTGCTCTCCAGCCCTTCACCCTCCATCACTTCCTATCAGCCAGTCTCTGCAGGAGGGCTATGACTGTGTCCTGTTTGGAGGACAGCAGCTCCAGGGCTGTGGCTATCCTGCCGAGGGACTCCACCATCCGTACCTCCCTCCTCTCACGCCTCTTCTCTCTGGCTTCCACCCTGCGGCGAGCAACCCGATCCAGGTAGGCCTGCTCCTCCTGCCGCTTCAGAATCTCCTGGAACAAAGGGGTGCTGGTTCGCTCCTCGCTTCCCTTCCGGCTCTGTCCCTCGGCTCCTGACATGGTTGTCGCCGATAACGAGTTGGAAACGGGAGAAGTGAGACAGGAGGAAGAAGGGGGGAAGGAGGAGGAGAGGCCAAGGAGATTCTGACTGTTGCAAAGAGGCGCATTGCTAAGTCGAAAGGGTATGACGCCGGATGAGAACGGCGGAGCTTTCCGTCCTACGTAGCGCGATGTGTTGAGGTCTGTGTTACTCGTCGAGCCGAGGGAGGGGGAAGTAGAAGCTGTGTCTGTGAAACAAGGGGAGGAGATAAAAGAGGGGGATGGCACAATGGTGGCTGGATGAATACTGGTTGTAACAATGTCACTGTTGAGGACAATCAGGGGCTTGAGCTCTGGAGCATTTGTCGGGCTAACAGTCGCTGTAGTCATTGAGGTAATGGCAGCAGTGCTACTGATGATTTGACTGCTGATGGCTCCCTGGCCCACTGACTCCACGCCGCCAGTCGAAACAAAGTCCCCATTGGGGCGGATGATGGTGGGGGGCTGCAGAACCTGTGGTTTTGCAGCGATCTTTGCCAAGGAACCAGACAGCGTGGACACGCTGTTTCCACCTTTGTTTCTTTTGTTGTTGATGATCTGAGTGCCAACAGTGTCACAGAGGGTGGCATCCATCAACTAGAGAGAAAAGACAGACAGAGAGAAAACGACAGAAATAACCCAGATGCTGTTGCTGCAGCTTGTCAATGAGCTTTCCATATGCAGTTAGCAATGTGCCCCTTTTGGTCTTGTTTTTAATTTGATTCTGTAAAGGCAAAAATATACACAATCTCTCAAAAGTCCTTAGGTGGTCTATCGCTCTTATTACAGCACCGTGCACGCTGCTTCAACATGTGGAGAACACCAAAGCTTGCTGATTGGATAATCGCTGCTTGAGGGCAGGGTTCATCAAACAGTCAATTACGCATGTCTTTCAGGTGGAATGTGTGCTAAAGCTCAGAGACACATTTGTCAGACACATTTCACATGTTTCTGGAGCTGTAAACACGTAAACAAGTGTGTCAGTCTGTATGTATTTATTTATGTATGCTCATTTCGATTATTCTCTGACAAAGGGAATAGAGATCTGAAAGGGGAGCAGGAAGAAGCAGAAGCTAATAGTCTGCCAGTGGGAGGTTTATTCTAACTAATTATAACTTTCCAAAACATCTGCTTGCACAGCAGTCAGTATGGGTAAAAGTGGTTTGGTGTTTGGTTTCTGGGTCAGAACTCAGACCTGATCCAGTTCCAATTCCCAAGCCAGTTGCAGTCCAAATTAGCCCCAAAATTAATTATAAACTATGAAAAGTGTCTGATGTTTTATTTGAAGATATTTTCATGTTTGATCCAAACTTGAGGGAAATAGACCCCAGAAAGGAAGCACTTATTTTCCTGCTATCAGACTTACATCAAAGAACTCCCAGGACGTTTTAGCGTGTCCCGTCTCCCGGCTGCGGTCCTTCACCCTCTTGTACGTGACAATGAGGTTGTTCCACTTGCGGCGGATCTTTTCAACAGGAAGCACGTGTCCCTTGGAAGCCATCTCCTCCTGGACGCTCTGGAAGAGCTGTGAGCGCTCCCGAGTCTCGTACAGGCCCCAGCGGCGTCCGACGGCCTCAATCAGACACAAAACAGCTTTGGAGGAGAAATCGGAGCCCGAGGGAAGCATCTTCTCTGAAGGAGCAGGTGGCATCGCTGAAGCTGGGGACACGAGTGAGAAAGAATAAATGGGGTCGCTCCATATATAGATGGGTATGGATGGCATCTGTAATGGTGATGTATAATATAATATAGATGTTATTATTGTTGCTTGTTTAGTCATTTAAGATTTGAACCCACGTTTTCAGGGGTTTTTAAACATCAAGGAACTCACACACTCACTGACTGCTGAAAAAATATTATTTTTCTTATTTACATTAATGACCTTCATCAGGTATATGGGCTCCCCATGTGCCTGATGATGATAGTACTGACTGGCAATGCACATTCAGGTGTGCAGAGATTGTTTTTTCTATACATTCTGTATATTTATATTAACATGAAACAGGCTGGAAATACAGTATATCATTATTTCTATGTAAAGTGTATTCTGAGCTCCCTGCACCAGCCAGAAAAGGCTGAGAAAGCATAATTTAAGAATTGGAGATTTAATTAAGTAATTTTCTTCACTGCCACAGAATTTGATGTGTATATGTTGTAAGACCTACATCTCTGGCGCATGCTGCCTGGGGAAGCCTATGTGTTTTATCTCATTCTGATGATAGAGGAGATCACACTCTTGCGATCCTCTTCCACTGAGGCACTCACCTGGAGCTATCTTCAGGTAAGTTTTTCCATCGCCCGACGTGGTGAAGAAGCGGTCTGTGCTCACAGGATCTAAACGTTGAGACAGATAAAAGATACAGATTCGGCAACTTATGATCCAAACATGGGATTCACTACTTTGCTTTGCACTATAGAGATAAGAGATAAGAGATTTTTATTTGTCACATGCACAGTTATACGTAGTACAATGCACAGTGAAATGCTTCTTTATACTTGCAGCCAG